TAGCGTGAAGGCGGCGCATGGACCGAATGTTGTGATGCGTCGAGCTGATGTCATGCCAAACACACACAGCGACCTTCACGCCAAAATGCCATATAGAGGTCATCAAGTCCCATAGTATGGGCCCCAAAGGTCGCGAGGAAGGAGACACCGAGGACCATGTCATATCCATCGATGGAAATGGAGTAGCAATGATGGTGAACGCCTCATCGCAACTGGACGCCCATGTCCTAGGCCAGCCGCGACACAAAGCCGCGATTCCATTCGCCATGATGACGCCGGGCGCCGGGCACGAATGGAATCAGAGATCGACACGGCGGGCCACATCGCCGGATGAAATTGTGAGTGGACCCCGAGTCGAGCAAGGCAACGAATCGATCATTACCGATGGTGATGTAGACTTGCATGGTGTCCTCGGCGCGGATGCCCACAATGGTGTTCAGGGAGATCATGGGCGCCTCGGGGTCAAACGGTGGGGTTTGACGGCCGCCACATCGGCCTCCTCGTGCTCCTCCACAATGTAATCAAGACCTCGAGGTAGAAGAGGCAGTCACACTTGTGGCTGCAAACATACGGCTCATCACAATTGTAGCAGAGACCCTGCTTCCTGTGCTCGGTCATCTCATATGGCGTTAGGCGCTTGAAGGGACGCGGTGGTGGTGCCGACGATGAGGACGAGGGCAAGCCTTGGCTGCTGCGGCAAGGCCGCTGGTTGGTGTAGCCAGTGGCACGATGGGATGGCTGCCGGGCGGTGCCGCAAGAAGGCGGCAGGGCACCGCATTACGGCGCGTCAGACGCTGCCGCGCCGCCAAGCGCATTGCTCGCTGGAGGTCTTGGGGGTCATGCAGCTCCACATCGACGCGAATGTTGTCCAGAAGACCGCCAGTGAATAGCTGCGCCTGCTGGTATGGCGAGACCTAGCCCGCGTGCGCCATCTAGTCCTGGAACGCATCCAGGTACGACTCGACGGAGGAGGTGAAGGGCAACCGTGCCTGGTCTACTAGGTGGTTGGTGCTGATCGGCGGCTCAAAGTGCTGGTGGCAGATGCGCTTGAACTCCTCCCAATCCGTAAAGCCGGCGCCCCGCCGAGGATGATGTACCACCGCTAATGTGCTGTGGAGGTGGTAGGACGCGAGTCGACCTTTATCAACAGGCGCGTCTGCTGAGCGCAGAAGAACCGCTTCAGACTTGTTCAACTAGCCGAGCGGGTCCACCTTGCCATCATAGGTGGGGAATGAGAGTTTGTAGGTAGCGAGGCACGGCCGCCTTCCGGCCCGGTGGGATGTGGGATGAGGGCGGCGGCATATGCATGGCGGCCGACTGCGGAGCGTGGGACGCCTGCATGATGGAGGAAAAGGATGGCACGAGTGATGGCGAGTGGGGGAACGCGATCTGGGTGATGGGCACACCCGTAGTTGGCGGTGGTGGCTGGGAGGACACGGCCCCGGAGACATGGACCGATGGGCCGGATGCCGCTAAGGAAGGCAGCGCCGTGGCGCGGAGAGCAGCTCCGAGATTACCGGAACCGAAGCCAGAAGCGCGGGAATGCCGCCGTTACCGGGCATGCCGAACTGTAGGAGTGGCGGCGCTGAGGACGAGGGGCGACTCTCGACGGCCGCCAGGCGCATGGAGATGTCCCCCATCTGGCGCTGCATGCCGTAGATGGCCGCCGTGAGCGCGTTGAGGGCGTCGGTGGGAATCGCAGTGAGCGAGGGCGCGGAGCGGAAAGCGGTGCGGTGGTGACGATGGCGGCGGTGGTGAATGCGGGAGCGGATGGGAACACGGATGGTGCAACGGAGGTGCTGGTGGGAATGACGATGGCGGCGGAAGATCCAGAACCTGACATGGATGATACCAGATTTGTTGGAGCTTAGGGAACGTAGGGCGTAGGAGTGGGTGATGGCTGGCCTGGGCTTGAAACCCTGGCGACGGGCTGGTGGCGCCGTGCTTAGCGCCTGGTGGAAAACGTGAACGAGAGAGAAGCAGAGAGCAACAACGCCAAAGAGCGAGAGAGATAAACTCAATCTCTGGCCAATCCTCTATTAATGAATAGTGTTCCATACTTATAACCAAATGCTAACAAACCTCTCCTCACTCTAAGGGTTAACAAACCCAATGAAACAAACTCCTAAATACTCTGATGGTTAACAACCGAAATGAAACAAACTCCTCATGCATCGCTGCGCTCCAACTTCGACGCCGCACATGGTGACCCAGCACTGCCGCGTTCCAGCCGCGGTGCACTCCTAGCCACTGGTCCTGTTGCGGCGCCGGTATACTTTGCCCACCATAACAGAAAGCGTCACATACATGCAAGAATGCAAACACTGTGATGTCCTGCGAATAAACGCAATTTCCTGATGGGCCTTAACTTGTTAATTAGCACTAGCAATAGGCCCGGTGGCAATTTCCTGTTTGTGTTGTTGGACGTTAACCTGCAGGCACACGCTAACTACATTTCTGAAGCAGTAGCTGGTTCATTCACTAGTAGTCTTCATCTCGCCAGTGTCTGTCAATTCAATACTGTAAACACCAGTGCAAGGACGGTTGTTCGTTCTACCAAAACCACGGGTTTTCCTTTTTCTCTCTCTCTACGGCTGAGAGCCTGAGACAGTGGCGTCCGAACTAGTGAGCGTGATTTGCCAAGCTGCTATCCTCGGCGTCTCAGGCAACGGCAAACTATCCTGGCGTCATCCATCCGAGAACGGGTCAGTTTTGTGCCGATGAAAACGAAGGCTGGGAACAAAGGTTTTGACATGACGGGCCGGTGTGGAAATGGAAAAGGAAAAACAGGGGGCCGTGCACGTCGTCGTCCTCTGGTGCCAAAATTCTGAGGGGGAGGTTGCGCCGTGGACAAAGGGCGGGCGACATTTGGTTGCCGAGCGGCGTAGGAAACAAGGCAGCGGCAGAGCTGTAAAGTAGCGAGCAGCACAACACGATTTTACTGATGACAGGAACCTCTGTATACTTTGTAGTATATGGATGGCACCTGGTATTTTATTTGGACGTTCTCCGGAGGAAAGACAATCAGTAGTGAGATAAACAGAGCAAATGGATCCAGCCATGCTATAGTAGAAACTCGACAAATGCACTCATTCTTGTGTGTGTGCGCGTATAGGGAGTTTTTTTTAAGTGGATGCAATTTTTTTTATAAAAAAGCTCAATGTATCTATCCAATTTGCTCTGTTCGCTTCTCTTATAATCCGTCTTTTTCAGCTTGATTTTTCAATTGGAACAATGTTTTTCTCATTAATAAATCAGCCGTAATAATGTTCCGTGTAACATGATTGCTAGCTACGAAAGGATACTTCAGAGTGAAAACAAATTAGTTTGCACCAGCTCATTTGGTTAAGTTTGTATGGTGAAATCCGCGCTGCTCACTAGATCCAATTCTTCGACTTCACGTGTAATTATTAGATTTATTCAAAATTTAACAGCTTTTGTAGTGAAACAACAGGAATAACAAAAAGAAGAGGTATAGGGAATTCCCCTGTTGTCTTAGCCCCTGGCCATGAGCGAACAAAGGATCCCTCTGTAAAACCACTAAGATAAGTTTCGATGAAGGTTTCAATGGATTTCATTCTTATTTAATGCTGTGACATAGTTGGCACGTCAATTATAAAGAGTAAGACACAGAGAGTTTCATCTAGATAAAACCCGCTGTCAAAGTTACCAATATAAAAGCTGACGTGGCAGTCTTGGCAAATGTATCATGAAACTTCCCATTGAGACTACATATAACCCTATCGAAGAGCAACTCCAAGAGACTCTCCATGCCCCTCCTAATCGATAGGAATAAAGATTTTATTGAAAAAATACCCTCTAACAGCTTCTCTAATTAATTATCCAAATATAGTCATTCTTTATTTCGGATTTATCTCTAGCCAAATATAGATAGCGAGAATGGCTCTCTAGAGTGCCAATCACTATCTACGAGTCTTTCTAAAGAGTGTTGGAGTAAAAGCATATAAATTTTTTTTATGCAAATGACTCTCTAAATGATAATTTGGATAATGGGTTTTAGAATTTCCAAAAAAAAAGATAGTGGGTTTTTGAAAAACTCTTGAAGATGCTCTAATAGCGTCAAATGCCTTGACAATGTCTAGCTTAAAGAAAAGAAAAATATTAGCATTTTTATGATATAACTTACAGAAATTAAGTCTAGACACGGATTTGCGGATAGTCCACTTTGAATCACAGCCAATGGACTTCTTCCTTAGTGATAACAACCTTGACATCAAAGGACTGAATGCCCAGCAAATCCCAATTTAAAGTGTGCGATATGGCCGTTTGGTGTTTAAAAAATCTCGTTTAAGTGATCATGGACGAGCTGTTCCTTCTCAGGCCGTGAATAAACCACTCCATTACTAGAGCTTTGGACAGTATTACATTAACAAACTGTTGCTACAATTCGGCGGGAGGTGGACGGCAGCTAAGCGATCACGTCACGTCTATTGGCGCCATGGAAGTATGGAACGCATGCAATGCAGCGTCTTTTGTTTCATGCATCGCTCGTGCAACCCAGGCTAGGCTGGTTACGGACCGGTGCTGCAGTACACTGCCGGGCCGGCGGCGTTCCCAGACTTGGTCTGTTTTGTCTTTGTCCAGCCATCCTCGGTCGGTCGACGGGACACGGTTGGAGATTGGAATTGCAGACCGGGATGGGATGGGACGGGGGGACCCCAGCTGTAATCGCGCGCGCTTGCCGTCACGACTCGTCGCGGCTTCCATTTATCTGGGGAGGCCAGCCGAACGGGAGGGTCACGCAGTCACGCTCACGCGTTCGGACGACGACGCTCCTCTCCCCCGCTCCCTCCCTCCCTCCCCTCCGATTCTTCAGCCACTCCCGTCTCCTCCTCCTCCTCCTCCTCCGCAGTTACCGTGTCGCGGACGCTGACGCGTACGTCTCCGTGCTCCACTCACCATTTCCATCCAACGCACCCACCCAGAGTGCGCACCATACCACTGCCACTGTTGTGCAAGCACCACTAACCAGCCAAACCATGGACGCGGACGCTGCGGCGGCGCCATGCAGGAAGCCGGCGTCCCACTCCCTCCCGGAGCCGCCCCAGCTGTTCGCCGTCCGCGCGCGCTCCGGCCGGGTGGCCGACCTGGGCGGCGCCGGCGGCGCAGCGTTCTCGGGCCCGCCGGACACGCCGCCGCGCCCCTCGCTCGTCACCGTGCCGTTCCTCTGGGAGGAGGCGCCGGGGATGCCCAAGGCGTCGCCTACCGCCTGCGCCGCCGCGACGACTCCGGCTGCTGCCGACGCTGGCCCCGTTCTCGAAGGCGAAACTGGCGATCATCAGGACAGCAGCGGCCACGCGGACCAGGCTGCGCGTCCCCTGCCGCTGAAGCTGCCCCCGCGGCTGCAGCAGGTGCCAGCGTCGCTCGCCGCGGCGGACACCCGTCAGGGCAGCTGCCACGCGGACCAGGCGCGTCCGCTGCCGCTGAAGCTGCCCCCGCGGCTGCAGCAGGTGTCAGCGTCGTTCGCCGCGGCGGACACCCCGCTGTCGTCCCCCAGCACCGTGTTCCAGGGCCCCTACTACGCCTGCGCCGGCGGCGGCAGGAGGACGCCGAGGTGGGCCCGGAGTGGCGGCGCTGCCTTTTGACGGACGACGAGCGCCGGCGTGGCACTCTTCTCTCGGACCTGGAGCAAGCATAGGGCGGCGGCGCCCGCGGCGGGAAGAAACAAGCACAGATGCGGCTACCATGAGCGCGACGCGGCGGGTACGGATGCCCCGTGGTGCTCGCCGGGGTCGTCGGACTCCTCGTCATCCGTGTCCACCTGCTTCGGCGGCGACGATCACCGTCGCGGGAGGCCCAACGACGGGCGCGAGGTCTCCTCGGAGGAGGACGACGGCTCCCCGAGGGGCTCGGTGAGGATCACGAGGATTAGGCTTAGACGGAACCGGAGCCTCCCAGCATGAGCACGTCTAACCTCTGGGTACGTCGTCGTTTCTGCTCTGCTTTCTTGTGCCAAGCATGCTCTGTTTTTTTTAATTATTATTATTGAAAAGACCAATGGTCGGGGTGCATTTATGTGTTTTCTCAACTTAAAAACGATTACATCAAACAGCGAAAATTAGTAGGGACCTGCCTGTGTTCTGCAAATTCTAATTAAACCGTTGTAGGACAGAGAAAATTACGGTAAGTTACTAATTAGGTGTAACTTTAACATAAATTTCACCACAAACCTCAAAATCGCAGCAAATGAGGTTACAACACCATGAGAGTAGTGTATTGTTACAACTCCACTAGTAGTACTTTATGGGAGGTTACAACACCATGAGAGTAGAAGCAATCTGTTGGAGATGCTCGTATATCCGATCGTCCACTTGTATGATGTGAATTTTGCTATCACAAATTCACAAGTCCAACACAATTTTCGTTCCCGTGGAGTTGTTACTGTTAGCCTTTATTATCCTTTGTACTTGTGTAACGTATGGCTCTCCATCTAGCTTAGCTTCTACGTTTGCCTCTCTAGCTTATACAGGCCTCTCTAGCTTCTACGGGCTCCTATATACATGTACAGTGAACCTCTTCATAATGAAATGTAATTTATTTATTCACCTCTACGGTTAAATGGTATCATTCACCACCGATCCTTTCCCTTCCGCCCACGCGTTATCGCTTCTAACCGCCGCCTGCCGTGACCTTTCCTCGCCAGGCAGCCGCTGACTGATCGCCGGGCGCCCTCAGCGTTCGCTCGCTAAGCCATGTCATTGGCCCCTATGGTCGATGAAGCCGTCACGACGAGGCTACGTGCCTTTTGCCGGTTGCCGCCAGCCACAGGCTCGCCGACCAACACGAGGCTGATCATGCCGCCGCTCTGGCGCAGCCACCGCCGCCCTCAATATCAAGGCGTTGATCCCGGTCACCTTGGATTTGGCCGCCAACAACTTCAGCAAATGGCGCGGCCTCTTCCTCGTGGTGCTGGGCAAGTATGCCCTAACTCGCCACGCCCTTCACGATGAAGCCTTGTCGGACCGCCTGCTTTGGTCCGGATGGACTGCACAGTGTTGACATGGATCTACGGCACCGCCTCCAACGACCTCCTTCACCCTGATGATGCACTTGTTCAACGCCGCATGTGCCCAGCAGTTCCTCGAGGATGAGTTCCAAATTCACAAAGAGTCCCGTGGTGCTACTGCTGAGAGACTCGCCACGTAACCTCCGCTAAGGCTCTATGTCCGCTGGGGATTATTGCCGCCGCTTGAAACCATGGCTGCCGCCTGGTGAGTTCGGTGATCCCATCGCGATCGCCGATGGTCCTTACTCTCCTTCACGGCCTCAATAAAGAAGTTTCGCCACATGGTGTCGAACTCAAGATGCGCCGCCTGCTCCCCACGCTCACGAGGCCCGCACTCACCGCAGAATCGAGGAGATCGATCTTGATGCCGCGCCACCGTCTCCACCATGCGGCCGTGGTGGCTTACCCTCCGCCGCGCCCGACTAGTCCGGGCTGGCCTCCATCGCCACGCATGGCCGGCCCCTCCAACTCCCCAACGGTCCACGACACAACCACAACAACAACCGCCGCCGTGGTCGTGGGGCAAGTCTGGTGCTCCCGGTAGTTCTTCGTTGTTCGCTTCCAGTGGTGCCGCCACACGATCTCGTCTTTTGCCCACCCTTGGGTGGGAACAATGCGATGTGGTCGCACGATCGCCCCCGTGGTCACCCCCGCCTCCTCCGAGCGATGGTCTTTGCGCAACACTGGCACCTTCGGGTTCCTCCCCTCACGGCCACCCTGCCCCTACTATGGGGAGCGTCAGGCGCTCCACCTCTACAAAGCAGTTCGGGCTGGCTTCTCCACCGCAGCAGCAGATGATGCCGCCGCCACTGCACCCCACAAAGAATTGTCGAACCCTATGCAAGGCAGTTCATGGGATCAGCCATCCCTGGCTAACTCGTTCGGCACGATGGCGTTGGACCCTGCTTCGGCACCTTCTGAGTGGAACGCCGACTCTGGCGAGGGCTCCCATATGACATAGGACGCCGGTATACTCTCTACTGTTTTCCCTCCTTCATCCTGCACTCCATCTATCATTATTAGTAATGGGGCTTTACTTCCCGTTACTCATACCAGGTCTCATTTTTTTCGTGTCCACACCATAATCTTATTCTTAATAATGTTTTAGTCGCCCTAGCATCATTAAGAATTTGGTTTCTGTTTATCGTTTTACCATCCACAATAATTGTTCCATCAAATTTGACCCTTTTGGTCTTTCTGTGAAGGACATGCAAACCAAGAACATGATCACCAGGTGTAATAGCTCCGGTGACCTCTATTCGTTCTTCCTGCCCTCCACCAGCACCGCCGCCCTTGTTGCCGCCCCCACCTCTCTTTGGCATCAACGTCATCTCGGACACCTTGGCCGGGAAGCTTTGTCCAAGCTTATTAGCTCCAATGTCATTCCTAGTAATAAAGATGATCCTGAACATCTCTGTCATGCTTGTCAACTCGGGCGTCATGTGTGCTTGCCTTTTACTTCTTCCAGTTCTAGAGCTCCTAATAAATTTGATTTAATACATTGTGACCTCTGAACATCACATATTGCTAGTGTTTTGGGCTACAAGTACTATTTTGTTATACTTGATGATTGTTCACATTATACGTGGACCTTTCCGCTTCCCACCTCCTCTCACTTGGATTTGTTGAGGTGAAGTCAGACACGTCACTGTTCACCTATCACCGGGGTTCTAATGTGGTCTCCTGCTATATGTCGACGATATTGTTCTCACTGCATCGTCTACTCGCCTTCTCTAACATATTATTGCAGCACATCAACAAGAGTTCTCTATGACTGATATGGGTCAACTTCATCACTTCATGGGAGTCTCTGTCACCTGTCGAGATGATGGACTTTTTTTTTCTCTCAGCGGCAGTACACAGTTGATATTTTGGAGCTAGAGTGCGCCGGTATGAGTGCTTGCAAGCCTAGTAGCACCCCCGTCGACATCCGCTCCAAATTGTCAAACGATGGTCCACTTGTTGATGATCCGACTTAGTATCGCAGTCTCGCTGGTGATCTACAATATTTTCCATTCACGCTACTAGATATAACGTTTGCAGTTCAATAGATTTGCCTATAAATGCATGATCCCCAGGAACCTCGCCTTGTTGCACTAAAGCGTATCCTGTGCTATCTCCAAGGCACTCTGTCACATGGCCTAACTCTTCGCCGCTCGCCACCGGTGGACCATATTGTGTATTCTGATGCCGATTGGGTTGGTTGCCCTGATACTCATTGATCGACGTCTGGCTATGCAGTATTCCTTGGTGACAACTTGGTTTCCTGGTCCTCCAAGCGCCAATAGACTGTCTCTCATTCCAGCGCTAAGGCAGAATATCGGGTCATCATGAATGTTGTCGCCGAAGTTTCGTGGCTGCGTCAGCTTCTTGATGAGCTTCGTCACCTTCTTCATCGTGCTACATTAGTTTATTGTGACAACATAAGTGTTGTCTACCTCTCCAACAATCTGATTCAGTACCAACGTACCAAGCATGTGGAGATCGACCTGCACTTTGTTCGAGATCGTGTTGCTATCGGTCAAGTCCACGTACTCCATGTCCCGACGACATCCCAATTTGCCGATATCTTCACCCAGGGCCTCCCGACCTCTATCTTCCAGGAGTTTTGATGTAGCCTGAACGTCTGTGATGCTGCCACTCAGACTGCAAGGGAGTGTTAGCGTTTATTATCCTTTGTACTTGTGTAACGTATGGCTCTCCATCTAGCTTAGCTTCTACATTTTCCTCTCTAGCTTCTACAAGCTCCTATATACATGTATCGTGAACCTCTTCAGATGTAATGTAATTTACTCACCTCTACTGTTACAGTTACAAGTGCCGCATTCCAAATATGAATCTAACTTTTTTATCAGAACAAACAATGTGTAATATGAACATAAAAAACACCTCATAACCCTATATCATCGCAGTATCACAAATTCAACACTCATTGATAGATTCACTAGAATGGAAAATCAAAGCTGACAACCATGATGGCAGCTACTTCCTAACCAAACCCTGAACATATGCCCACTTTGTTTTCACTCATCTTCACTCTGCCGTGTCTACTCTGTTGAAAATTTGTGTTAGAGTGTGTAGCGGAATGCGACCCAACTCGCTATACCCATGAGCCGGTGCCCCTCAGGTCCAGGTCCACCGGAGCCCACAACATACCAAGGCCAAGGCCTAACTCAACCCAAAAGACTAGCCTGATAGGTGAGGGCTATCATCGCCTTATATGTTATGCTCCCCACCATCAATTACCTAACAATCTCCCCCGTCACACATGACCCAACTCTTCACACATCAGGTCCCGAGTCCAACGCTCCATATCACACACAACCCGTGTGACCTCCGAGAAGCTAACGGGCTCCGTCGTCATCGTGTGACCCCCATGAGATTTTCAAGTTTTTCTGACCATGGGCTTTGATACCACTTATTAGAGTGCGCAGTGGATACTGGTCTGGCTCGCTATACCCACGAGCCGGCACCCCTCTTAAGCCCAGGTCCACCGGAGCCCACAACATACCAAGACCTTGGCCCAAACTCAATCCAAAAGACTAGCCTGATAGGTGAGGGCTGCCCCCGCCTTATATG